TCTTCGCAGGTGCGGCCTTTTTGTGCAGAAGCGGATGTCGCAGGTGCGACATGAGTGTCCACAGATGCGGAACTTCACCTGGCAGCCTAGCATCGCAAATGCGAGCTTTATCTCGCAAATGCGAGTCCGCAAATGCGGAACTTTTGTCCGCAGATGCGAAAATAACTGGGCAGAGCCCATAAATTCGGAAGTCGTCATTTTTACTCATTTTTTGAGTTTTAAGTCTCGGATTTGGGCGACTTCAAGGGGGATTTTCACGACTTTGAATTGGGTAAGCGTTCTTTAACCAAAAGTGATTATATCTCACAAATCCATGTCTATATTCATCATTTATTTCGGATTTAGATGGAAGAAATTGGAATTATTGTAAAACTTTCCAAAAACAAAAAATTAAGATTTGAAAGTCCATTTGATATCGGAATTGGACAAATTTTGTATGGTTGAACTCGTATCGGAATCGGTATTCGGATTTCGCAAGTTTTTTGGGGATTTGAGATGTGGGTCCCACTGTCGAATATTTTAATGAATTTCAGATTTTTATCTGAAAAATGTATAAATTCATATGGAATTAATTTCTATGATTAGTATTGATAATATTTAATTGTTTGTGAATAGATTTGAAGCTTTTAGAGGCAAATTTAAAAGGAAAAGCTGTGGTTGAATAATTGATTGAAAATTGCAAAGCGAGGTAAGTGTCGGGGTTAACCTTGACTTGAGGGAATAGAACCCTTAAATTATTTTTTATGTAAATTGCATGTGAACGACGTATAGGCGACGTATTGACTTGAGGGATTTGAGATGTGGGTCCCACTGGCCTGGGGTCTGTACGTCATCGAATTAATTGCTTGCATGCTTACTTGAAAAATCATAAATTGTTTTTAATCATAAATTAATTATTATAATAATTATTTCTCTCTTATTCCTTGTTAATTATTAATTCTTGAATTCCTGCATTAATTGTTATATGCTATTTGAATTATGTGTTTTAATTGTTATTTGACATTTAGCATATTAAATATTAAACTGCCTATTTTCTCCTTGATTTCTATAATAATTTGCTATTTGTCGTTGTTTGTTTCATAATTAAATCATAATTGTTGTATGCTTGTTGTCTTATAATTTTATATTAATTGTTGCATTTATTGCGGAAATTTCTTCTATAAGAATTGATAGAAATGGAAATAATGGAGGATCGGGTTGCACGCTGCAACAGACTTATTAAAAGTCAATATTGGAGGATCGGGTTGCACGTCGCAACAAACTTATTAAAAGTTAATATTGGAGGATCGGGTTGCACGCTGCAACAGACTTATTAAAAGTCAATATTGGAGGATCGGGTTGCACGTCGCAACAAACTTATTAAAAGTTAATATTGGAGGATCGGGTTGCACGCTGCAACAGACTTATTGTAAAGTCAATATTGGAGGATCGGGTTGCACGCCGCAACAGACTTATTAAAAGTTAATATTGGGGGATCGGATTGCGCGCCGCAATAGACTTATTGAAAAGTCAATATTGGGGGATCAGATTGCATGCCGCAACAGACTTATTTAAAAGTCTATAAATGTACTTGATTGAAATAAATATATGACAGACTTGATTAAAAGAAAAATATTGGGAGAGCGGGTTGCACGCTACAACAGAATTGTATGTGAATATATTGTGAGAGCGGGTTGCACGCTGCAACAATATTGGTTGAAATAATAATGGATTATGATTGATGGGTTGGCTTAAATTATTATAAATGAGTTACCTGATTTATTTTTATTATTTGTTGTTGTTATTAATATTGCGTACAAGTTAATGTAAGTGAACCGCCTTAGCCTCGTCACTACTTCGTCGAGATTAGGCTCAGCACTTACCAGTATATGGGGTCGGTTGTACTGATACTACACTCTGCACTTCTTGGGCAGATTTTGGAGTTGGTCCCAGCGGCGTACCATAGACTTGTTCGGATTTCAGCTACCAGCGGAGACTTGAGATATAACTGCATGGCGTCCGCAGTTCTGAAGTCCCCGTCTATTGTACTTTAGCTGTGTGTTTATTTTCATAAAGCTTTATTTTATTCAGATATTTATTTGTATTTATTCTAGAAGCTCGTGCACTATGACACCAATTCTGGGATGGTATTTAGACACCGTTGTTTTTATGGATTATTTAAAAATTACTTCTGCATTTACTTCCTTGTTATTAATAAATTTAAAATTATTTTAAAAATGGATAATATTATTCTAACGTTGGCTTGCCTAGTAAGTAAAATGTTAGGCGCTATCACGGTCCGAAGGTGGGAATTTCAGGTCGTGACACCATCAACTCAGAATCCCACTGTTGAGCCTCCTGTAATTACTAAGATGTCTGGTAGACTTAAGAAAAATAGAAGAAAAGCTCAAGATCAACCTAAAATAAAATTTGGTAAGAGATCAAGGAAAGGGACACCAATGACATGCTCTCATTATAAGACAATAGGGCATAACAAGAAGGGGTGTCCTATCGTGGTAAATTATCAGATAATGCATTCATATGTTTTGTGTTTGTGACTTGTATTTTGTTTGTTTCATTAACTCATTTTTTTTTGGAAAACTTCATAAAGGACAAGTATCTGGAACTAATGTTACCAGAAATGCTAATGCTACTCCAGGAACAACTCAACCATTAAATGCTGCAAGTGGATCTGGAATTGTTGGTACCAGAAATACTCAGGCTGCTCAAGGAAAAACTCAACCATCAGCTGCTGCAAGTGGATCTAGAACTGCTAGTACCAGAAATACTCAACCATCTCAAGCTGATCAAGGAACAACTCAACCATCAACTGTTGCAAGTGGATCTGGAACTGCTGGTACCAGAAATACTCAACCATCAGTTGTTGCAAGTGCATCTGTAAGTATTTATTTTTTACTTTAGTTAAGTTGTAACTCAACCATCATTTTTAACATTATTAGATAGTACTTTATCTTATATCAGGATACTAGGAGTATGAGATCAAGGACTTCTGAGGATATTCTATCTAGTGTTAGAGGAAAGCCAAGAGCTACTGGACTTCGAGGAAGACTAAGAATTGTTGGATTTGGTATCTTGTTTAGTGATCCAGGGACACTGATAGAAAGGGTAAGTGAATTGGATTTGGATTTTTATTTAGAGATTAGTAGTTTGGATGCTAATTTGACTTTATATGCAGTGTGGATCAAGAGATAGGGTACTTTATTCTCCTACAAAAATAGTGAATGCTCGACAAACAAATATTGATCTTGGATATAGTGCACCTGGACTAAGGTGGTAAGGAAGAAATACAATAACACAAAGGCAACTTCAACAACAGTTGAGGAGAAGACAAACTCAAGCAAGCCTTAGCCAATCTCAAGTCTATTCCTCATCTCAACCAAGCCAGTCTCCATGTCATAACTTGAGCCAATCTCAGCAAAACATCAACCACTCTCAACCATAATGATTTGCTGAATGTTTGTTTTTGTGATAACTTAAGTCTGTTAGTTGCAGAACTTAATTTGTAGGTTATCTATGGATGTTTAAATATGGCTTTTATTTTGGCATAATGTTTAAACTGTTTCTGCTACTAGACAACTTTCAGTAGCTAATTTTGTCAACCAAAATTGCTGATCGAACTTGATTGTTTATATATGTCTACTTGTTTATGTCAAACATTGCTTTTCATTCTACAAAAAATCATCATATATTTTGTCATTTTCATTGTACGTAGGGTTATGAAGAAACATACAATATATGTTAATAACTAACTAAACTAAGAAGGAAATTACAATGATTAGTGTTAATACAACAACTGAAGTTACAATGATCTTCACCCTCTTCCTACACTGCAATCTCTCTCTCTCTCTCTCTCTCTCTCTCTCTCTCTCTCTCTCTAATTCTTGATAACAACCCTGAATTCACTTGTTTGTAGTGATATGAAAGAGGTGGGTCAAACCACCTAAAAAAGTTGCAAAAATTATTTCGACCATAATTTGAGCACCCAAAACTTTCTTCCTGGATTTGTTGGCTTCCAAGTGATGCAAAACTTAACTTCAACTCCACAATGACAAAATATAGCACTTTCCATCATTTTCACGGTCTGAAAAAAGAAAAAAAAATATAAACTGAGCTTCATATTTTAGAAAATGGAGGAATGGAGCTTCAGATTCTATATAATGGAGGAATAATGTATTTTACAAGGAATAAATAAGAACCCACTTAGATACAAACTATTTTGGACCGTTGGACATTGGGAAAAGGGCTTTCACGCTCATGTGCGTCGTGTTCCTCACGCAGCTGGCTGATTAGGACCAACTGACGCTACATGGGCATGTTCAATGGTCAAATGTGTTTATTAGTTAAGGGAAAAATGAGTTAGAGTGTTCAAATAGTAAAGTTTAAAGTTCATGAAAAAATATGAAACATGACTTATACCCACAAGTTCTAAAAACTATCACAAATACCCAATAGTACAATTATCACAAACCATAGCCTTGAACTTAAATAAGTTTGGTACAAAATTATCATTTTTATAATGAACTATATAAATCATTAATTACAGCGAAATCCCATTAGAGAATTACGGCTCCTAATTAAAAAGAAAAAGTTAACTGATATGAGTTCAGAAAGACATTTAGCCTACAAATCAGAGGCAAAAGTAAGATGCACAAAGGATTAAGCTGATAAGGGAGCATATTCATCAACTATTTAGTTGGTCGTAATAAATGTGAGCTATTTTATAAATTATTAAAGTTTGGGGTAATATTTAAAAAAATTTAAAAATGTAACGGTCATGTTTTGGCCCAAAATCAGCAATTTAGGTGATTTTGGGAGTTTGAATTTTGGATTTGAAATTTTGCCAAAATATAAGCAAATATGTTAATAAATTTTAAATTTATTTTGGCAAAACTCATGGCCAAGCGATCCTAAATGCCCAACAAATTTAAGTGGCACGAAGCCATTCCGCCTTTTATATATTTAATGAAAAAAATTACTAAAAGGAGGTTGATTTACTAAATTTGTCCTCATCGGAGCTTATACTAATTCGGCAAACAAAAGGAAAACAGAGGAGAGCAGCAACTAAACTCGAAACCTATCGTTGCAGCGTTGCTAATATTGGTATGCTGCCAAATTCCCTAACTGAAACCTGCGAACGGCTAAACTCCGGCGTAGGCTCGACGAGTTTTTGTCACATCGACATTGCTGTTAAGAATCAATTTCTGCTTCTTTTTTACTAGATAATTACTCTCTTGAATTTCTATTCTTTAGTAGACCTTGAAGCATCGTTATACCTCTATGAATTAATGTTATTTATATGTTATTTTTTGTTTAATTTGCAGATTCTAGGGTTGTGTCAAGATTGAACTGGGTAATTATCAAATTTACCAAAGGCTGAATTTTTATTGTAATGCCAAGATGAACGGTGTTGTTTAGATATGAAAATTTGTTTTATTTGCAGATTCTTACCAAAGGTTAGATTTTTATTGGAGGATGAAACAGTAGGTAAAAAACTATGACGGAAAAGTATAATGTTGAAGCTGCAGAAATTCTTGCTAACGAGGCACTGGTAACTGTTTAATTAACATATTTAATTAGGTTTAGGGGAGGGATTTATTGTATGCATTCTTATTACATTACACTTTGGTGTATTCTTTGTATATAGCGCTTGCCAATTTCAGAAGCAGTGCCGATATATGAGCAACTTCTGTCCACGTTTCCCACTGCGGTGAGTCCTATATTAAGTACTGCCCGCTTGCTCGATTTATAGTTGAACAAGAAAGCTTTTGTTGCCAGTATCCTCACCATCTCTTAATTCTGTTTATATTATTTTCAACATTATTAGTAATCCTTTTACTTTATCAGGAAAAGAATATTAATTTATCTTGGTGTGGGGTGGAGTGCAGTTGCTAGTTAGTCTGCTAATGTAGAAAACAGAAGCTAATCAATATTTGATCTCGACGCAATTACTGATTGAAAGGAAAAGAAAAAACAAAGTTAAATAACCCCGCTTTGCTTGTTCGTCGTGGCCGTGCTCATTCATTTGCTAGCATTTACTGAGACTCGTCAGCTGGAAAAACAGCCACTTCACTTGTTTGAACCCATGACGCACGCCTAACCCACACATCATGCACTGGGTTCTTACTACTAGACCAAAGCTTACATGTTTTCAAGTGAAATCTTTTCTTCATTCTACATGAATGTTTCATTTATCTTGCTGTAGCATATTGAAGGCTGGATTTATTCCATCTTTGTGCATCCAACCTCAACCATTGGTGAAATGTGGACAATTCTTTGACAAAATTCATTGACAGTATTTGGATTAACTTAGAGCCATAACAAGATATGTATATTTGGATTAACTTAGAACCATAACAAGATATGTAGAATGTCTGTTAGGTTCTTCTTAATTGGCTAAATTTACCCTCTCAGCCTGCTAGGTCAATGACCATTGGATAAGGAATGCTTAAGAGGGGGATACCAAATGAACATTAAGAACTACACCGGTACAGATCACATACATTAGGAATAGGAAACATTATGGTAATTTAGAATATTCTGTTCAACATAAAGCATGTGAGTTAAGTCACTCACCTATTTTGATTTGGGAGTGAAAAGAGTGTACTACTCTAGGAGCTGGATGTGCCAAACTTTATTTAGGTAGTGCAATGGTGTTAGAATGCTCGAAAACTTGGACGAGGTCCAAATGTTTCCTTTGTGTAGCGGTTCTTCTCGTTCTCTATCTCTGCCCGAGAAGGAAATTTTGTTGACCATTTTTGTGCATGTCCTTGCCGAAGGGCAACACTAATCTTCTATGTATCGTTCCAATTTATCTGATGTCCTCAAAGGGACCTCATTCTATCTCCGTCTCGGACTAATATATCTATTTCCAATAAGCGTCAAACATAATATATCTAATTTGCTCATGCTTTAATGAAGAATCTAGACTAATTGACTTTCTCAGTATCATTACATGTGCTTGTCAATGAACTGAGTTTTTGCTTTTTTGTAACTGCACGGCTGTTTGCACTGGCTGATGCCTTCTGATGAAATAAAACTTTACTTTACCTGATCCAACAAAAAAGAAATGCCAAGCTTTAAGTTCTCAGATTTGCATATTCACGTGAAGTTGATTTCCTCCTAAGTGCTAGGAAAAGAAGATATACAATGCCAAATGTATGATTAGGAAGAATTTTTTTGGTGCTTGAAGACGCCATCCGTTGCTGATGTTATCTTTACTTTTATCTAGGCAAAATACTGGAAGCAATATGTCGAGGCACACATGACGGTAAATAATGATGATGCAACAAAGCAAATATTTAGTCGCTGCCTCTTGAACTGTCTACAGATTCCTCTTTGGTATGTTTATTCCGATGATATTTTATTTTCTTGGAGTTTCTCTTTTCCATGTTTCTTCTCGTTAGTGAATCTTTTCTTGCTCTCACATTTTGGTGTGGAATGGGGTTGGAAACCTGGGAGTTTCCGTGGCTGTTCAACCCTTTGCACTTTCGTGTCAATTAGTAAGGACTAAAGTAACATGAACGATATTGATGGCGTGGGAAACTGCTTTGGAGGTTTAAAAGCAGTTCTGGTCTTTTATTGCTGAAGTTCTAAAAGTTATTCCAACCTATAGTGACTGGTGGTTTTACCTTTTCTCCTTGCAAAGAAAAGCATGGACTACAGTGTCGAAATGTATGCATATTTATGTGGTTTGGCTGTCTGATGCTTCACATTTTAAGCTGAAGATCCTGTTATTTATTTACCATGACAAGATCATTATTCTTTTGTTGAATTTTCTTTGTCATGCATCAGCTCAAGAGTTTTCTTGGTGATTATTCAGGCGCTGTTACATCCGCTTTATCCGGAAAGTCAATGACAAGAGGGGGAATGAGGGTCAAGAAGAGACAAGAAAGGCTTTTGATTTCATGCTTAACTATGTTGGTACGTTATCTTTAAGAAATATTCGAAGAATGAAGAGACCAAACTGATGCTAATTTTGCATCCTTATCCAATCTATTATGCTATATACTGTGTACATGCTTTCCCTTTACCCTCCTCTTATTCCTTGCCAATAGTTAGACTGGTAGTATGAAATTTGCTTTTAGAATTGGACTGACCTTGATATATTTCATCAATTTGAATGAAACCATTGTTTAGTTTACAAAGATAAGAAATGTCAATAAAATGGAGTAGACTCTTTTCTGTCTTTTTTTCTCCTACCAACCATGGTTAGAAACTTTCTTTCGCTTTCCCCTATATTTCCTCTTCATTTTTTCTTTCTCTTTCCATTTCGATAGTCTCCAAACAGATCCATAAAAAAATAAAAGCCCTTTAGATTAAGCATTTGACTTGACAAAAAATGAAGGATGGTATTAGCAAGATCGAACTTTTGACCTTAATTGCTTCTCATCAGCAAGAGGAAAATCATGGCAGTTTGATATTGTAGCAATTGGAAGGAGAAGCAAAGCTACTGTCATTACACTGTACCTCAATTAGCCTTCCCTCTACAGCTTCAAATATCTTGGACTTAATGACAACACAATTTTCGAGTTTATAACAGCATCTTTAGACGACATCATGTTGATTAAATTGATGTTTGTTTATTAACTCAACATTGCATTGGAAATTAAAGTATGAGATGTTGCATTTTGAGATAGTCGTTACAAAAATAAAGGTGTGATTTGGGTTTGGAACTCGTAATTTCTATTTTTAGTTATTTGCTACTCGTGCACTTCATATTTCCTATAGCATGATGTTTTACTTGCTAACACATGCATTATGGCATTGTGATATTTCTGTTGTTTTTGCAAAGTACTTCATTTTCCTAACCCATGTTTTAACAGGAGCAGACATTGCATCTGGTCCAGTGTGGATGGAATACATTGCATTTTTAAGGTCTTCGCCTGTATGGGACACGCTTTCTCAATAAACAATACCTTGCACATATATGTATTATGTACAGACACACAAGCATAAATATGTTTTGTTAGTTATGTAGCCTTAAGGTTAATGCTGTATTAGATGATGATGTAGGCTCAAACCACGCAAGAAGAATCACAACGAATGACCTCTGTGAGGAAAGCATACCAAAGAGCTATTGTTACCCCAACCCATCACGTGGAACAGCTTTGGAGGGACTATGAGAATTTTGAAAATTCAATTAGTCGAGCCTTGGTAGGCCTCTCCTCTCTACACATGTTCTCAGACTACTGTTAGTTGATTTTATATTGTTGGCCAGCAATGTAATGGGTCCCACTTTCAAAGGAAAACTGTTATCATTACTTTCAGAAGGAAAAGACACTAATATTCACTTGATAAAAAAAGGAACATCCTCGTATTTTCAGTTACAAAAGTACATGTATGTGTTTGTGAAAATTGTGTGTAAACTCTAGTGAAAAATTTATTGGACTTTTGTGAATGAGTATTACTTTTTTGTATATGCTATTTTAGGTGTGTTATTGGTTGATACCAAAAAAAAAAAAGGGAAAGAAAAAACCTAAAAGAAAGAAGAACAAGAAAGCAGACCTGGAGACCATACAAGCATGTTGTTTTTCCGACTATTTGGAAGGAGAGGACCCAGAGATGTTTCAAGGAGGGCATCATCAATACATGTCCTAAAGCATAGATATTTATGTAATCTAGCATTTTGGTGTAACTTGTCTGATGTATATGATGTCAAAAAAATGTTAAGAGTACATTAGTGCTTACAGAACAATGAGACGTTGTAATCATTGAAATAGCTGTTTCATAATGCCTAGCACTATCTTAATGCTTGTCAGTTAATAGCACTGAAATCCTTTGCTTCTGATAAAAGAAAATAACAAGAACCCAGTTGGAATATATTCCGTAAGTGTTGCTGATTGATTTTCTATTTGTCAAAATAAGATAGACTTATCTTCAAACTCATGGGCTGATTAGAATTTTCTCTCAGCGCACTTTATGATCAGCTTACTAGGCTATGTACCTTTTTCTTTATTTTAGTAAAACCCAAACCCCCCAAACCCGTCTCGCCAGGGGCAACAATATTTTCCCACTTCTGTCCTGGTTGACTTGAACTCCCAATCATTTGATTGAAAGTTTAGTGCTCTTATTCCTATAGCAGCTTAATTTGTCTTTCTAGGCGATTTACCTACTCTATATGTATGTTAGCATAAGATCCTAAAGCGTTATTATTACAGGATTTGTTGTTCTGTATACTCAATTTTTTTTTAATTCTTATATTTATTGACTTGAAATATTAGGTTTTTACTTAAATACTTGTCTAAGTGATTAGTGGACTTAACTTATAAGTCTAATCAACTTTATTCTTGAAAATCAAATCAGACTGCATTTTGTTGATATCTTTTTGGTGTAAATAGGATTGGATAGATGATAGTGAAACCCTACTAGAATTCATAGTCTCTTTTGTATAGACACAGAGTTTTTTTTTTTTTTTTTTTTTTT